ATTTCGATGGTGGAACTTTTTGGTTCTTTGTGCCTTGCACTTTTGACAGATACTTCTGTCAAATTAAGAGGGGAAAATGGCAGGGGTTCTGCGATGGCTAAGAATTTAAATTATTTGCTCAAATTCAGATTTTACTAATTAAAAGCATAGCAGGAACATCGAAATCTAATACACCGACTGATTCAATAAAGAAAATGTAAGAAAACAAATTTTAGCTGAATAATAGTTGAACTAGAATTAACAAGTCCCATTTCTTTTTTTATATTCGCTCTTGAAAAATACAAATAATTTTAAAATGAATTTGGTTCTATTACATTAGAAAAGATTACAGAAACGCCGACTTTTGCTATGCAATCAATACAAAGGGAACACAACGCTTTTCTTCACGATCTTAATATTCGCAGAATTTCACTCTCACAACTTCCGCTTCGACCCACAACAAGACTTCCTGGAAATGGATCTCCGGGGCACTTGAACTATATTTTATGACCGCCTGCCATGGGAACTTGAATGGGGATGCCGAGCTATCCGACGCCATAAATAATCAAAATAATAATGTGTCAAATCTTTTGAGCAACCGACAAAGCGAAATAAATCAAATCAAATGCGAAAATAATGCCCCAAAAATATCTGGGTTTTTATAGCGCCATACACATCCGCATATTGTGCAATTAGGCTAGAGGCAAGCCCATCAACTTGAAACCAATCTTATTGTTCGGTTAATTTTGGTCTTAAATCTGGCACTGTATATCGGAAGATCAGGGAGATTCCCAAATATGGGATCACTGTGGACGGTAGTCATAGTATAAATAAATTTAGGATGCAATAAAAAAATAGTGTTTAGAGAATTTTTAATGGAAATCATTCAAATTATGAAAATATATTACAATAGAGAGCGACTATTAAAATAAAATAATCAATTCTTTATTAAACATCACAGTTTTCGAGGCAAATAAAAATAATGGCTATTTGTTCTTCCTTCAAAAATACTTTGCCTATCTCAAACTATAATTTTCAATTTGGTTTCATAAATAATTACATTAATTAAATAATAACAAAAATGGTTATTACACGTAAATAAAATCATAATTCGTCACGAAATTTAAAGGTTTCAAGGTGCATTCGTCACCTCGTTGAAAAGTGTTGATGTTTGATGTGGAAATGGCGCCCATTATTAACTAGTTAAATTTAAAATGATCGAGCATTTGGATGATTAATTTGACAAGCAGAGATGTTCTTTTCTTAAATCCAAGAATTATGTTTTAGAGATAGCTTGAATTATAGCTAGCTACCTAATAGTTAACATTTTATTTTAGCCAGTCCAGTAAAAGCGGTGTGCTTTCAGTTGTTGGATGATTCCATTTGACATTTAAATGAAAAAGTTATTTTGTCAAGTAAGCATATTTATATCAAATCAATTAAATCACTGAAAACATCAAAGAGCTCCGAGCATAACTCTGAAATTAATCTTGTCAGCTATTTAAATTGATTTATGCTTTTGCTTTTCTTTAAGTTTGACAAAGAATATAATAAAGCCCAGTCAATTTGAATTCTAAAATTGTTCATACTCCTAAAAACTAATACATGAAAAGAACCAAACCAATCAATCACTACATGATCGTAGTTAAGAGTAAGTATTAATTATTGAAAATAATATAATATTAATCCAAATATTTATATAAGTGAGGCAATTAAGTATCCTATTTTTGATGATAGCGAATAAATTAAAATTGTTGAACATTTATTACCTCTGATGTCACCTGTCTTATGCCATTATCATTCACTACAAAAAACAACTACATATTATCCATCTGATATAATACTTATCAATATAATTAATATGAAAATGTACAACGCTAGTCTGTGAATATTAATTAACAAAATTATAGTTGAAATTATTACACCCACCTGTATAATATTGTCTGTTAACACCATTATCCATCTGATCGCACGATCTTCACCGCTTTTGGACACACTTTTCGGTGTCAAATGGTGTTTTGTATTTCTTGTAAGTATTTCCTTCGGCAAAACCCATTCTCCCAGCAACCGAATGAGGCAATCTGTATGGTGAATATGAATCACGGATCGCTTAGATCTGAAAACTTGTCCGGGGCATTTGCCATAAATCAGGCGGGGCGACAATCGTGTACAAAGCCATGTTATACATGCCTCGACTTCGGTTTGCAGTTGTCAAAAATTCGCACATTTCTGCGTCGGTCTTTTTTTCTGCCTGATTTCTGATTTCGGATTTCTGACTCGATCGGCCTCCAAAAAGTGCGTGCGCTGGTGTGTTGTCATTGTCATGTAGCCGGCAATTAAAATTGGTCCCCTTCCGCCGTCCACCGCCCCGCGAAACCCCCTCGAAAGCCCATCGAAAGCCCCCTCGAACCCCCGTAGAAACCCCTTGAAACCCCCCCCCAAAAATTGGCAGGGCAGCTGTTAAATAATTTATGAAGTGCGTAGGGTTTCTGGCGCGCATTTCAAGCAGCTCGAGAGCCCCCAAACGCAACTCATTTCATTTATTTCACTTCCAAAACTCCGGCCAAATATTTGCGCATCGCTCACGCACTTTTTTTGGGCTGCCCTGTTCAATTTGGTCGAAGCGTCTTCTCTTCAGATACCCTACAAATGGAGGGTATCACGGAATTGGAGAGCAATTTAAAAAATTAAAAAAATATATTGAACAAAGAGATTTGTAATTCTAACAAAATGTTACTACACGTTTAACTGGACATATAAATTTAAAATATAATAAAGAAGTTTGGCTATAAATAAGTTTATTTGAGTTATTACTAGTTAATTCAATTTGGCTTAAAGCTAGAGTATTTCACCCTTCAGTTATTTTATTGATTTAAACTTGTCCATTTTTTTGTTTGACTCGATTCGGTTCGCTTCGATTTGGTTTGGTTTTGTTAGCCGGAAAATATTTGGCCACGCAGGTTTTTTGTCTTCGGTGCGTTGCTCATTAAACATTTTGGCCAAAAAACTTAGTTGCGATCTGCATGCAAATGCCGCTGATTAGCCGGGGCGCCGAGTTGGCCATAAATCAATGGGCCGCCTTTGCTGCCACACGAGCCACAATTCCGTGGGGCCACAAGTGGCAAATGGAAACTGGCAACTGGAAACTGGAACTGGCCCAGAACGGATTCGAGAAGTCGGGCTACGAAACACCACCAGCTGCAGAGGGTCTTCGTCGGGTTCCTTTGGGTCGGGTTCTGCATTGGACTGCACTGGTCTGGCATAGTGGGGTTTGGTTTGGTTTAGTATGCTCTATTCCCCGCCAGCTCCCGATCACGAATGCTCGCTCAACCTTAGCACTCAGTCAGGAAAGTCCGTTGAGGGTTCTTCCTGCACTGCCAACAAAAATTGGTGAACTTATTTCCAGCAAGGAGAAATACATTTTAAGCAATACAAAATATTATCAGATTCAACATTTTTGGTTTCTTAGTTCCTGCACTTTACGTTTTATTTTCTACCTCTAAACTTTTTAGATTATTTACCTTACCTATTCACTTATTGAAAATAAAAAACCTTTTTTTCATTGTATTCCTTACTTCCTTAAAGCCTTACCAAACTCATTACATAACTTGAATATTTCTATTATATTCTTTATTACTTAAAAACTTAAAATTTGTTCTGGTTCCAATAGATCCAATACCCCTTTTCGCGCAGTGTGGGCGAGGGAAGTGTTAAGCTCGCCACAGAAAGTGGAAAGAAGAGCCTGATTAATTATGAATTGAGTGTCTGAGCCGAGTTGCCTGCACTTGCACTTGTGTTTCACTTTTTGCACTTGCGGCACTTTTCATATTTTTACGCTTGCGGAGTTCGCCTGCAGACTTCATATTGTTTAATATTGTCTGGTTGGTGATCTCGAGGGGGGGGGGACTTCATCCCGAAAAGGGGGCGGGGCCGGGGTCAAGGGCGGGGCTGCAAAGGGGGAGGCATTCGAGCAACAACTTTTGTCACGCCACACAGCGAAGTCGATAAGGAGCGGTTCAGGAAATGCCTAGAACTTCATTTCCTTTCAAATGCTATTTTAAGATTGCAAAAAAACATCAGAAACTAATCTTTACATTAGTAATATTTCACTGTTAATATTTCAATCCCTTCAACTTTTCACAAAACATTGACATTAAGTTTTATTTAACTAAAATATGTTAACGAATTGACTTCAAAGGTGGTAATGGTTGTAAAGCATAAAACATCATATCCATGGATCTTTTCTAGGGAACTTAACCCCTGATCCGCCCCTGTCCTCTTATGTGCACTTGCCACTTCACTTGCAACATGCACTTATGCTCGCGGCACGTCCCAGTGTCTTTATCATATAAACGGTGCGATTTAAATTAATAATTAAAGCGGACTTGTGGTTGTGGTCTTTGGTCTCTGGTCTCTGGTCTTTGGACTTGGGACTTTGGGCCATCTGCCGATCTGCGGCAGGTGGATCGCAGGTGGATGCGAGTGGATTAAGCTGCCCACCCTTGATGCCATAAATCAACGGGGACATTGGGCTGGTGCTCAGCCAGATGAGAAGTTGCGGAAGAATCCATTACAGCACAAAATAGCAGGCATGTTGACTTTAGAGGTTACCTTGCCATATCCACACTTAAAAGCGATTTATTCTTAATTTTAATCGATTCATTTGGACTCACTTTATACAAATCTTAACTAATATTAAGTTTATGTAATGAAATTTATGCATAAAATCATAATTAGGCTAATTGGCTCTCGTTTTAAAATAATTAAAAATTATAATGTTGTAGTTTCTTTGGTAATCACCAGGTAATCTTCATTCCCATTATCAAATGACTATATCGTGCCAGTTTTCTTAATTTTTAATTTTAGTTAGAATAAATTAGTATAGTTTTCAGAATTTGGTATATTTTTTACCATTAGCTGAACTGTATTTTTGTTTTTTTGTAATTTTATTAGTGTTATGAAAAACTTGCCCTGATTTTAGTAAGCTCTGCACCTTCTGTCATATAAAAGGGCCATTAAAATGGGTTCTAGGCGAGTTGACTAACACTAAATTTGCCGTTTTCGCAATCGAAGTACAAAAATCAGAGGGCATACTATGCGAAGTCGAGGACTGCGTTAGAGAATCGCTGAAAATTGAAGGGACAAACCAGACCAGAGATGCTGCTGATGGACGCCCTGTTCAACAGCCTTTTGGTGGTCAGCTCCGGCTACGGCCTCTACACCCTCCACCCCCTGGATACGCCCTACGCCTATGCGACGGCGGCCTTGAGCCTGGTGCACGGCCTTCTGGGGGTGGTGCGGGCGGCCAGCAACGACGATGATGAGTGCAACCGAGTGCGGCTGATAACGTCGGGGATAATGGAGATTGTGCCGCTGCCGCTGACCAACATCGAACTCTACCTGAAGTCCAGCAATCCCAGTTTGGCAATGGCCCACGGCTGTTTTGTGGTGCCATTGGTCTATGACTTGATGGCCAAGTTGGGCGACAACGAGGACACCTCCACGGAGACTTTGAAGGAACTCACCCTGCTGGGCAATGTGGTATCGCTGCTCTTTTTGGGGGTCAATCAATCCAATAATCTGTACGGTGGAATGGCGGCCATCGCCTTTGGAGCCCGCTACGGATCCGTGATCCTCGATTATTATTGGGAGGGCCTGGGCACCGACTTCACCCTGCTGGCCCACTCCCTGTTCGTCGTCCTGATGACCATGACCCTCTCGGCCAAGTGAGGATGGAGCCCCCCAAAGATGCAGCCCAGCCAAGGCCAGCGGTTCGTTGGCCCAGCTCAATAAACTTGAAATTAATGTTGGCAAATTAAAATGCAAAAATAAACATTAATTGTTTTGTCACACTCGCAGCACGACCAAAAAATTAAGTGTCTTCATCGCCATGCTTCCCCTTTGCCTCTCTCCACCACGACCTCAATCATCCGGAGATCCAGAGATCCAGCTGGGGATAACATTTTAGCTTCAATTTACAACGTCAGCGGCGGGGAAACGTTGCCAAATCGACTGAGCCCCACTCTAAGCCAAACAAAAAAACTGGATAAATGCTTGCTTTAAGATGGCCGATTTCCCGAAATACTCAATTTAGAACACAGAAGCATTAATATATTTTTATTTCACAAAGACGCTGATTCTTGGCTGTAAATTAGCTTCAGTCTTAACTCGCAACAATTTTACGATCTCAATAAAAACGAATCGATCTGCATTAAAAATATAACAAAAATTGAGAGCGAACGAAATTTTTTATAGAATTTTCTTTTAAAAATTGTTAAAAATCGGGCACTTTCAGAAAAAGCATTTCCCTTTGACTTAAAATTAGTTTTTGTTTGCTTAATAAAGATTTGATTATTACAAAAATGTAACACATATATTAAAATATTTGTTTGACTAGATCAAGAGTTATAATTGTAAATAATAGAGGAACTGGTAAATTAAATTAATTCTAATGAATTTAATTTAAAATATTTTTTTTAAGTTAAATAGGTATAAAAATGAAATAGTTTAAATTGTTTCGGTAAAGTAAGTACTTACAAATGGAAAATGTGTAAAACTAAAGGTTGCGCGGTATTGAATATAGAAATATAACAAGGTCTAGGTATCTCTCCAGGAGCGGCTCAAGGACAATGCGGGTAAAAGAAGGCCTACTTTTGGGCGCCGCAAGGCGTGAATCTCGGTGGCGGACTGCTAATGAAACGGCGCCATTAAAACGACCAACAAATGTGCGGAAAAGAGCCGCGAACACGGCGGATGGGCAATAATTTATGCATTTTAATTAATTGCCTGTTGCGGGACCCCGTCGCCGGGTTTTTATGATGGCTGTGAGAGATCGGATCGTACCCTCCTCTGAGAAACCCCCCTCCCTTGGGGCTAATCATGTCGTCATTTGCATTTCACGAGGTTACGGGGATTAAGGGGATTTTGGGGAAACCGGGGGGACTATGCGGATGTTCGGAACAACAGACAAATTCATTTGTGCATTTAAAAGACGATCCATTTATTTTATGAATCAAAGCTGTGCGTTGCAAAAAAGTGAAAGAGGAAATATCGCAGATAACGCCAAGGAAATACAGTAGGCAAACCAAATATTATTTGGTATTTTTTTAAGAAAAATTAATATTTTAGAACATCATTTAAATACATATAAGCCTTTGTATTATATGATTACATTTTTCTATTATTGATTTCAAATAAAACGTTTAATTGGCACCAAGAACATGAGGATATGTTTACACTGCGTATGCGTAATAAATTAAAGCAACTTCTAAAAAGGCTTAAAAATCATATTCCCATGGTAACATGTGTTTTTTTTATAATAACAATGCGCTTTATACATTATTTATATAAATGTTTAACAATTAGCTATTTACAGTATGTATTTTATTGTATAAAAAAAAATTGATATAAATTCAAAAATGTGTAGTATTTTTTGTATTTAATAATAACTAAAATCTTAATGAAAACATTATTTTCATCGCCAGAAAACCGCTGCTGTATCGAGAATATTATTTTTTTTTGCCCCCAAGGAATTCCACTCTATCGATTGAGCCCTGTTTTTAGACGATTGTAACCGCTGAAACATTTCAAAAATGTCTTTAAAAAAAACAAAAAAATCAACAACGGCGAGAAGCAGCAAAACAAAACAGAAACCGCGGAAAGGAAGCGGCCTAAAAAAACCAATAAGAAAAAAGCGCGCGCTGGAAATTGCACGCCGAATGCGCCTGCGCAGCGATTTTAGCAAGTTCAAAAACCTGCAGTGACTCAGTCGGCTAAAAAAGCCGGCCGGCATTGGCGCAGTCTCCGCTTTTATATTCATTCCTCTTATTTTCTTATTTTATTTTTGCATTTTTTCCGCTGCTGCCGGCGCTGCCAGCATTTGCTCTTTTCTGTTGTTGTCTTGGCGTGTTTATTAAAAAAAAAAGAAAAATAAAAACCGATCGGCAGACAGCGGCGTCGTTAAGCAAAAAAAAAGACTAAATAAAATAAAAATAAAAACAAGAAAGAAAAGCTAACTTCGGGCGGAGCCGAAGTTGATATACCCTTGCAGAATATTCTGTAAATTATATTCTCCAAAATTATTCATATGATGCAATCTTAATACTCATAAAAAATCCCAACTTCCTAACTTTAAAAACACCAAAGTTATGGCATTTCCAATCGTTCAGTTATATGGCAGTTATAGGATATAGTCGGCCGATCCTTATGAAATTTGATAGGTTGGATTGATTGGTTAAAAATAGAACCCATAGAAAATCCCAACTTCCTAACTTAACAAAAACCAAAGTTGTGGCATTTCCGATCAATCAGTTATATGGTGGCTATAGGATATAGTCGGCCGATCCTTATGAAATTTGGTAGTTCGGATTGATAGGCCAAATATAACACCCATAGAAAATCCCAACTTCCTAACTTCACAAACACCAAAGTTATGGCATTTCCGATCAATCAGTTATATGGCAGCTATAGGATATAGTCGGCCGATCTTTATGAAATTTGGTAGGTCGGATTGATTGGCCAAATATAAAACCCATATAAAATTCCAACTTCCTAACTTAACAAACAGCAGAGTTATGGCATTTCCGATCAATCAGTTATATGGCAGCTATAGGATATAGTCGGCCGATCCCGGCCGTTCCGACTTATATACTGCGTGCAAAGGAAAGAAGGGTGTGTGCAAAGTTTCAATTCGATATCTTTAAAACTGAGAGACTAGTTCGCGTAGAAACAGACAGACGGACAGACAGACGGACAGACAGACGGACAGACAGACGGACAGACGGACAGACGGACAGACGGACAGACGGACATGGCTATATCAACTCAGGAGGTGATCCTGATCAAGAATATATATACTTTATAGGGTCGGAGATGTCTCCTTCACTGCGTTGCACACTTTTGACCAAAATTATAATACCCTCTGCAAGGGTATAAAAAAACGATGCATGCAAAATGAATGCGGACATCGGAGAGACGAAAAGAGTGCGAATACTGCTAATGAATGCGAAATGGAACACAGAGTCCACAACGCCCAGCATCGCACTTAAAATACTCTTTTAAAAATACAAATAATTTAATAGATTATTATTTACCAATTCACTTAAATGTACTTACTATTAAACAAATAAGAGCTCCAAGTGTTTACTAAAATATGAAGTTGTACAAAAACTAGTTGAGAGCTTTGAAACAACAAAAAATATGGAATTTAATTCCAATTAAGAAATATATATCTCTCACAACTTATTAAGATCATTAAAATATATTTTTTTTATTAATTAACTTCTTGAAAAAATATTATTTTTTAAGGTACTACCTTAAATTGGTTAATACTTTTACAGGAATATGGCATCACTTTCAATCCTTCACAAACTGAACCCGATATTGGATAAGCCTATACTCTTCCTATTGTCGCCGCCATATCATTAATGAGTGCCCGCCAATGTGTTCGAAAAGAAACGGTCAAAATGCGAGGCGACGCCAACGCAACCGGCATCTTTCGATATGTACTATATCGCCATATAGTATATATACTCGATCGTATCTGGATGCATACACATGCACGTTTGGCAACGGCGCGAAATTCAAAAAAGCTGCGCGCCGACGCTGCTGCGCCTGCGCATTGTTGTTGGACGTGATTTGTTTACGAATCTTAACAAACTGTGTACACAAAATATTTTAAATTACCACGAAAGGCGTCGTCCGTTCAAATATTGTCCGCACACACAAAAACGCGGCTCGGAAATCACAGTGCTCCATCTATTTGCACTGGCAAAATCAATAATTGCGAAATGATCAAGATGCACTGAAAAAAACGACATTTAAATAAATTACTTTATTAATTTGGTTACAAAAAAAAACAAGATTGCAGGAAACTATTACGAAACTATCTTTTTCAATCACATATACTCAAAGATATATGTATTTCAAAAATGTTTTTAAACATATTTTTAACATTGTAATATGTACAACGATGGGAAAAGTAAAGATACCTTAATGCAAGCACTAAATTAATTTAAGATGGTGCGAATTTAATCACACATTTTCTCGCAGTGCTGAAAACCCGTTACAGCCGCAATGACTCAAACTCACACACATTCAGATATTATCGGCGGCGTGGGAGAGACCAAAAACTAGAGCTGCATTCGTATGAATGATGTGTGCCATATACACCATACACTATATACATATGCGAGTGAATCACTCGATTCGCAGAACTACTAAATGCAGCTAAATTGATTGTCCGATCACGATGCCGGCAAACTGGCAATTGCAAGTGAATGGACACTATATAGTGGCTATATAGGAGTGTGTGCAACGGTTTTCGGGGGATTACTTTGGGCGGTTGTGAATGGAATGAGAATGCGGCGGCGAATGGGTCCAATTCTGGGTCAACTAAGTTGACCGATTCGATGCGGCATTTCTGAGCCGAGAATCGTACGTGAGTGCTTTATAATAATTCACTTACTAATCTATATTATTCTAGATCAGTAACTAGCACTCAAATATTCGGTATTTATTTTTGACAATTTATATGATCCTGCCCCTTTAAGCTGATCCAAGTAAGTTTTAAGTTTATTTCTGGAATAATCTGCATTTATATTAAGCATTTTAATGTAATTACATTTTTGTTTTCGATGGTTATTCACAACGTTACCTTTAGAGTTCTTTACCTGTCCACCTCAATCCCGATTTTGAAGTAGTTTAATAAAAATGTGCGAAAAAATCAAAGAAATATTTCAATTAAAGCTATTTACAAACAGGATGCCTTTTGCATTTATTCAATATGCTAATATTGTACGGCATAGAACGATGAATCAGAAAATTTTTCTGAAACAGATTCGCTCGAATTGTTGTTCGAGCTGAATAAACAACAACGCGAAATGGTTCTAAGAAATTCCAATCGACTTGTTACACAGCGCCGATGAATCAGATTTTCTCGAGATCTTTGGGCCCCAGAAATCCAGATATCCAGATACTCGATACTTTGGTCCTTGAATGGCGATTCCCGAACCCAAAAACAA